CTGGCTGCTCCACTTTTGAACCAGCTCTCTGCTAATGTGCCTGGGAAAGCAAAGGAAAGATGGCCTGAGTGCTTGGGCCCCACCACCCATGTGGGAGACCTAGATGGAGTTCCAGGTTCCGAGCTTTGGCTTGACCCAGCTCTGGCCATTGCAGCCATTTGGGAAGTAAACCAGCAGATGCAAGCTCTCTCTTTCTCTCCTCCCTCTCTCTCTGCCTCTCCCCTTCCATGACTCTGCCTTTCAAATAATAAATAAATATTTTTCAAAAGGCTCTTGACTCCAGCTTCCCACCAAAGTATACTCTGGAAGGCAGCAGTGATAGATAAGCAAGTAATTGTGTTCCAGGGCCAGAGTTGCAGTGCAGCAAGTTAAACTGTTGTCGGCAACACTAGCATCCCATATGGGAGCCAGTTAGCACTCTGGCTACTTCACTTCTGACCCAGCTTCATGCTAATGAGCCTGGGAAAGCAGCAGAAGATAGCCCAAGTACTTGGGAGTCTGCACCCATACGGAATACCTGGATGAAGCTCCTGGCTCCAGGCTTCAGCCTGGCCCAGCCCTTCCCATTGTGGCCATCTATGGAGTAAACCAGCAGATGGAAGACCTCTCTCTCAACTTCTCTCTAACTCTTTCAAATAAATAAATGAATCTTTAAAAAAAAAAAATAAGCAATTGGGTTCCCATTTACCCACATGAGACCTGGTTTCCTGACTCTAGTCTCAGCCCTGGCCCAGCTATTGCAGGCATTTGGGCAGTGAAGTAGTGGATGGGAGCTCTAACTGTGGCCTATGGGTTCCCTTTCTGCACTGACAGTGACCAAGGGATCCATTTTACAACATATGCTGTTTGAGACTGGGCTCAAACACATGATATGTCATGGCACATTCATCTGCCACATGCCCCTGGCAACAGAGTTGCTGGAGAGAAAAAAAACAGTCTGTTAAAGCAAAAAGATAAGAAGCCTATTAGGGGCAGGGGCACAGTGGCGTAGCAGGTAAGGCAGTGCCTGCAGTGCCAGCATCCCATAAGGGTGCCGGTTCAAGCCCTGGCTGCTCCACTTCCGATCTAGCTCTCGGCTATGGCCTGGGAAAGCAGAAGAAGATGACCCAAGTCCTTGGGCCCCTGCACCTGCTTGGGAGACCTGGAAGAAGCTCCTGGCTCCTGGCTTCGGATCAGCGCAGCTCCAGCTGTTGCAGCTATCTTGGGAGTGAACCAGCGGATGGAAGACCTCTCTGCCTCTCCCCCTCTGGAACTCTGACTTTCAAATAAATAAATAAATCTTAAAAAAAAAAAAAAGAAAAGAAAAAAGAACAAGACCACCCATGTCCAAGCTGTACACCTAACTGCCATGCTGTCCAAGTATCCAAGTTATCAGTACACAGAATATAGTTGTTTTGAACTCCACAAATGCTAAGCCCAGGAAAAGAGACACTACAGTAGACTGAATATTCTTGCCACAGTTTGAAGCAACTCAAGCCCACATAAACTGATCTCCATTGATCCTACTAGATGCTGCACCCGTTATCATGGCTTATGTCCTGAACAGGCAAAAGGAAATACCTCAGGGCACTAAGGCTGGCCTCTTGCTCTAGCACATCTTCCACCAGATTTAGGAATTACTGATGGACCTCATGCTGCTGGCCAACAAGTCTGGACTGCCCTACCATACAAGGTAGCTGCTGCCCTGCTGTTTAACAGGGATGATGCTACTAGTATTATCTTGCTAAATGTGCAGATTTGCTATTACAAGTCACCACTAAACATTTATATTTTTGCCTATAGCTGTGGCCTGATGATGTTTTTGTTGCTCTTTCTGCTGAGGTCTGCTTTTGAAGCTAGTATTTTCCTGCAGTGGAGGTTCCTGGTAAAAAATGTTGATTGTGGGCCGGCGCCGTGGCTCAATAGGCTAATCCTCCACCTTGCGGCGCCGGCACACCGGGTTCTAGTCCCGGTCGGGGCGCCGGATTCTGTCCCGGTTGCCCCTCTTCCAGGCCAGCTCTCTGCTATGGCCAGGGAGTGCAGTGGAGGATGGCCCAGGTGCTTGGGCCCTGCACCCCATGGGAGACCAGGAAAAGCACCTGGATCCTGGCTCCTGCCATCGGATCAGCGCGGTGCGCCGGCTGCAGCGGCGGCCATTGGAGGGTGAACCAACGGCAAAGGAAGACCTTTCTCTCTCTGTCTCTCTCTCACTGTCCACTCTGCCTGTCCAAAAAAAAAAAAAAAATGTTGATTGTTACTGGGGCTGGCGCTGTGGCACAGGAGGTTAACGCCCTGGCCTGAAGCGCCGGTATCCCATATGGGCACCAGTTCTAGTCCCAGCTGCTCCACTTCTGATCCAGCTCTCTGATATGGCCTGGGAAAGCAGTAGAAGTTGGCCCAAGTCTTTGGGCCCCTGCACCCATGGGAGACCCGGAAGAAGCTCCTGGCTCCTGGCTTTGGATCGGTGCAGCTCCAGCCGTTGTGGCCAATTGGGGAGTGAACCATTGGATGGAAGACCTCTCTCTATCTCTCCTCTTTCTCTAACTCTGACTTGCAAATAAATAAATAAACCTTTTTAAAAAAATGTTGATTGCTACTGTCATTTATAAAATCCTCTTTGTCTCATTTTGTGCATCTGCCTCTCTGGTTGGATGTGAACTCTGCTTACAGCCAGACAAACCCCTCACAGGCTCAGGGCACAGTGAGGAAGTGCGTGTATGTGTGTTGGGGGAGAGGGGGTGGAGAGGAATGTGAAATTGTACAACCCAGTTATGAGGGGTAGAATCATAGGACTGGGGCCATTTTGGTCCTAATCGCCACCATGCTCTTTAGGTGACCCTGGAGGTCATCCCAAGCCCAACAGGGTAAAAAACAAACAAAAATTCATTAAGATAAGCAGTCACTCTTATCTGATCCTCTGAATGTCTCTTATAAATGTTAAAATGTCTTGAAAAAATACAGGTGCATTCCATTTAGCCACAAGCCACCTATTTCTATAAATTCCTTTTGCTCCTGCCTCATGTCATGGAGATCCTTATGTCTTATGGCTATCTGAGGCCATGTGTCAGCCCAAAAGTCCCTCCAATAAATTTTATTTAATCCTGGATCTGTTTGCTTCTTGTTCTGCTCCTTCTATACCTTCCATCTTCAGCAACCATTTCTCATACACCATGTTTTTCTGAAGCACCTATATACACCATTAATTATGGCCCTGGGAACATGGCAATTGCAATAACTGATAGTAAAATACTATAGAAAATTCACCCCAAAATTTTATAATAATTTCAGTAATAAAGGAAAAACGTGGGGTCGGTTTTGTGGCACAGTGGGTTAAACCACTGTGATGCTAGCATCCTTCACAATGCTAGTATTCCATCCCAGAGTGTCAGTTTGAGTCCTGGGTATCTCACTTCTGATCCAGCTTCCTGCTAATGCATGCAGGAAGGCCACGGATAACTGCCCAAGTGCCTGGACCCTGTCACATGTGTGAGAAACCTGGATGGAGTTCCTGGGATCTGATTGGCCCGGCCCAGCCCAGTTCTGGCTGTTATGGCCACTTCGGGAGCGAACCAGCTCTCTGTCATTCTGCCTGTCAAAAAAATAACTAAATAAAACATTTTTTTTTTTTTGTAGTAGGTAAAGCCACCGCCTGCAGTGCCGTCATTCCATGTGGGTGCCAGTTCGAGTCCTGGCTGCTCCACTTCTGATCCAGCTCTCTACTATGGCCTGGAAAAGCAGCTGAAGATGGCCCAAGTCTTTGGGCCCCTGCACCCATGTGGGAGATTCAGAAGGAGCTCCTGGCTCCTGGCTTCAGACTGGTGCAGCTCTAGCCATTATGGTCATCTGGAGAGTGAACCAGTGGATAGAAGACCTCTCTTAGCCGGCGCCGTGGCTCAATAGGCTAATCCTCCACCTTGCGGCGCCGGCACACCGGGTTCTAGTCCCGGTTGGGGCGCCGGATTCTGTCCCGGTTGCCCCTCTTCCAGGCCAGCTCTCTGCTATGGCCAGGGAGTGCAGTGGAGGATGGCCCAGGTGCTTGGGCCCTGCACCCCATGGGAGACCAGGAAAAGCACCTGGCTCCTGGCTCCTGCCAGGATCAGCGCGGTGCGCCGGCTGCAGCGGCGGCCATTGGAGGGTGAACCAACGGCAAAGGAAGACCTTTCTTTCTCTGTCTCTCTCTCTCACTGTCCACTCTGCCTGTCAAAAAAAAAAAAAAAAAAACCTCTCTTTCTCTTTCTCTGCCTCTACCTCTCTGTAATTCTGCCTTTCAAATAAATAAATAAATCTTTTAAAAAGGAGAAACTTCAGAGGCATTTGGCCTCGTGGTTAAGATGCCAGTTAAGACACCTGAACTCAATATCAGTCCTGGGTTCAATATCCAGCTCTGGCTCTTGACTTCCATTTCCTACTAACATAATGGGAGGCAGTGGTGATAGCTCAAAAGACTGAGTTCTTGCCATGCATACGGGAAACCCAGACTGAGTTCCCAGCTCTGGGCTTCACCTAAGGCCACTGCGGACATTTGAGGGGTAAATCAGCATAAGGCAGTTTTTTCTGTGTGTCTCCCTGGCTCTCAATTAAATAAATAACCAAAAGAAAAACTTCAGTTAAGAGGAAAACTGAATTAAATATCATATTCTCAAATGATATAAAATACTATTTCATAGAAATCTACTTCAGTCATTATGCGTCCATCTTAGACATGTCTTGACATTAAAAGAATTTACACAATAGAGTTTCACTGGCTGAAAACTTGGAGGAAAAAAAATAACCTGTATTTACTCCCAACAGGGGAGAATCTTACTTTTGGTCCAGGGAAGTAGTAGGGTATTTTTACATAGTTTACAACTTGAAATCATTAACCCAATGCCCACAGAATATGTGATAATAAAGCAAGGACAATGATTCAGATTTTTAAACCTCTATTTTTTCCATTTTTTTGATGGCAGCTATCAACAAGACAATTTATTAAATAACCTCAAGGAATTTAACATAACTTTAAATAAATAAAAATAACTTACACTTCCTGTAATGTTTGTGATTCCAAGCTGATGTTCCAGTTAGACAATCGATTATGACTCAAATCCCTAAAAGAGGATATAATAACATTGTTAGTGTTGGGAAGTAAAAATGAAACCAATATAGAAACATTAAACCCTGGCCAGTGGCCGTGGCTCACTAAGCTAATCCTCCACCTGTGGCGCCGGCACACCGGGTTCTAGTCCTGGTTGGGGCACCGGATTCTGTCCCAGTTGCTCCCCTTCCAGGCCAGCTCTCTGTTGTGGCCCAGGAGTGCAGTGGAGGATGGCCCAGGTCCTTGGGCCCTGCACCCGCATGGGAGACCAGGAGAAAGCACCTGGCTCCTGGCTTCAGATAGGCGCAGCGTGCCGGCCATAGCGGCCATTTTGGAGGTGAACCAATGGAAGGAAGACCTTTCTCTGTCTCTCTCTCTCACTGTCTAACTCTGCCTGTTAAAAAAAAAAAATTAAATCCTATTCGATGTGAATTTAAATAGTGCAAACAGAAATATTTGTGAATAAAAATTTATTCACCTTTCAAAAACAGGGTTTTTTTTTATTGATTAGGGAGTATATTCATCTGGTTCAATAACCAAAAAGCATAAAAGGCTATATAGCAATAGATTTCCCATCATTCTCTCCAGCCATCCAACCCCCTTCCCAAAAGCAAGAAATGAAAATGTACCATTTCTTGTGTAGCCTTCCAGATATATTTTACACACATGTACCACCAAACTTTTACAAAAATGACAGAATAATTCACATATTATTTTGCCCCTTGTTTCTTTCACTTAACAATACATCTTTGATCATTCCATAATAGCCATTTAAAAAGTATATCATCCCTTGTAATGATTAAATAATGTTATTTTAGCTCTAATAAAATTTGAAGACATTTTATAAGTCACCATGTTGAGTTTCTATATCAAAATTGGAGTTGACCACATCCTTGATTCCTAAAAAAACAAATAAAAAAATCATCTAGCTAATCCAGTTTCAGGGAGAGGATGATGATGCTAATGATGATGATGGTGGCAGCTACCATTATGTGCCAGGAACTCTCCTACACACTGTACACATACTGACTAAATCTACCCAATAACCTTAGAAGGCAAATAGTTTTACAATCCTCACTTTCCTAATACAGAAAGAGGTACAGAGATTATTAACTCGTCAATCCAAGATCACAACCAATAAATAGAGAAATCATCAATTTGAAATTCCATTGTGCTTCTAATAAGTAGTTTATTAGATATAGTAAGAGATTTCACTGAAATTAGTCATGTATCTAAATATCTAAACAGGCTTTAAAAAAATTCACCTTGATGCTTCCTGGCATCTTTACAAGGCTAGGGTAGAATCCAGCCAACACAAGCTGTCTGCCCAAGAGATGTACTACATGTTACAATACGGTCAGCAATAGGGAAACATTAAGGAGCAATTTATCTCACTGTGCCCCCACAGGCAGCTGACAGATACATGCAGGTTTCAATGATGTCTTTACTACAGCAGAACAGTTTGTTCTCAGCTAGATTCATGCCTGCCCATCTGTAAATCCAAACTATTTCACTTAAGAGCTCAATTTACACCATGCCATGACTTTTCTAAATTCTAAAGCCTTTATTCCAAGATGCCTGGTATGATATCAGCTCAATGACACTCATGAATGGAGGGGTGTTAGGAATATAAGATAAAAACATGAATTCACTCCACATAAAAATCTAATATTCAGGAGCAAGTATGTGGCTAGGCATTTAACTTGCTGCCAAAGATGTTTGCATCCCACAGCAGAGAGCCTGGTTTGAGGCCGCTACTCTGCTTCTGATCCAGCTTCCTGATAATGTGCATCCTGGGAGGCAGCAGGTGATGGCTCAAGGTCTTACTGGATTCCTGACACCCACATGGGAGACCTGGATTGAATTCTGGGTTACTGGCTTGAGCCTGGTCCAGCCCTAGCTGTTGCAGGCATTTAGGGAATGAAATAGCCAATGGAAGACTTCTCCCTATGTTTATTTTTAAAATGAAATGAAAATAAATTCTGTGGGGTGCAGGATGTGACACAGTGAGCTAGGTAGGCCACTGCTTAGGATGTCCACATCCCATATGAAAGAGTCAGTTTTATCAGAGTGCCAGTTTGAGTCCTAGCTACTCTGCTTCTAACCCAGCTTCCTGACAATGCATCTTGGGCCAGTGGATGACTGCTCAAAGGCAGAACCAATGGAGTTCCTGGTTCCTGGTTTTGGCCTGGCCCAGCCCTGGCTGTTGCAGGCATTTGAGGAGTGAACAAGCAAACCAAAGATTGCCCTCTTTATCTGTCACTTGGCCTTTCAAGTAGATGAATATAAACAAACATAATTTTTAAATGACAAATATTTTTTAAAATCTAACATTAATATAGTTTCATTCAACTCACACCTGCTACTGAACAACACAAAAAGACTGTCATACAAATGAAGAGATTTTTGTTCTTTTGTGGCATTTCAACTCACACAGAAATTCAATTGTTCTAATTCAAATTAGATATTCCATTTTCTGCCCCAAACTGGCTGGTCTGGTAAACTAAGAGCTATATCATCTTTGTAGCAGGTTAGCAAAGTATGATCTACTTCTACATCTCATGACTATAAAAATTTAGCAACTATTCCCCTTACAGATTAAAGGCTTTCATTCAAATTTCTAAAAATATTTATTTACTTGAAAGGCAGCAATAGAGAGAGAAGGAGAGCGAGAGATCTTCCATCCACTGGTTCACTCTCCAAATGGCCCAATGGCTGTGGGGCTGAGACAGAATGAAGCTAAGAGCTTCTTCCAGGTCTCCCATGGGGCGGGGGGGGGGGGGGGGGAGGTTTCCAGGGGCCCAAGGACATAGGCCATCTTCCACTGCCTTCCCAGGCACATTAGCAAAGAACTGGATTCGAAATGGAGCAGTCAGGACTTGAACAGGCACCCATATGGGATGCTGGTACTGTAGATGGAGGCTTAACTTTTCTATGCCACAGCAAGGGCCCCTCATTTAAATTAATAGTGCTCATAATACCTTCCCAAACCCTAAGTCTCCAGAGCAGTGTAACTCTTAACTGTACTCGTGCCCTACAGTTCTCCTATAGATGTCAATCAACATGGACATAAATAACCATTGGCCAGGTTTCTTGACCAGGTAATCATTTTTAAATTAAAGAAATCTAAAGCAATAAAATTAAACCAATGTATATATGCATGAGTCAGTATTAGAGAAAATGTCCATGTCTCTCTTTGGAGAAAGAGTATTTTTCTCTGTACCTTCGAACAACATATAGACTTTTTGATGGAATCCAACAGATATCTGAAATGCTTTGAAGCCTCTCTATAGGATAATGTTTTAAGGATGTATGCTTTGAAATAGCTTCATACATCAGAATCCTATCTAATAAAGCTCTCTACAACATTCTCAAATAATCCACATTGAATGAGACTTAAAAAAATTTAAAGGTAAAATGAAACACATTCCTAGTAGTACTATGATAGAAAACAACTAATATAGATCAGTCAAGTGTTTAAGTTATCAACATAGCAGGTATCCAGTTGGAAATATACGGATCAATCTGATATTTGGATAGTCATGCAAAAAACATTTACTGGTCCATGTATCAGCACTGCACTAAGTGCAGAAACATTATCAACTTCAGTAACCTTTTATTTTCCAAAAAGCAACATTTACAGTTCTCACGTGGAGTCATTCCAAAACCGTAAACAAATTCAGTATCAACTCAGCTACTCCTCTTCACCAGAACTGAATAAATTAATATACATACAAGAGTGCATAGATGTATTATTGTTCCTCATAAAAATACTTTTTTTAAACTTATATATTTGAAAGGCAGAGTTGCCTGGGGGTTGGGGGTTGGAGGAACAGACAGAGAAGTTTTCCATCTGCTTGTTCACTCCCAAGTGGCCACAATGTCGAGGGCTACCCCAGGCCAAAGCCAAGAGCCTAAAATGCCAACTGAATCTCTCAAGTGGGTGGGAGGGGCCCAATTACTTGGGTCATCTTCTGCTGCTTTCCCAGGCACGTGAGCAGAGAGCTGGATTGGAAGTGAAGCAGCAGGGAATCTAACCAGTGCTCTTATGGGAATGCTGGCAGCTTAACCTGCTGTGCCACAAGGTTGGGCCTCATCCTATTTATTTTTAGTTTTTAAAGTTTTATTTATTTATTTGAGAGGCAGAGGGAGAGGAGGGGGGCTTCCATCCACTAGTTCACTCCCCAAATGGCCAGCAATGGCTGGAAATGGGCCAATCCAAAGCCAGGAGCAAAAGCTTCCTCTGGATCTCCCATGCGGGTGCAGGGGCCCAAGGACTTGGGCCATCTTCTACTGCTTTCCCAGGACACAGCCAAGTTGGATCACAAGTAGAGCAGCTGGGACTTGAACCAGCACCCATATGGGATACCGGCACTGCAGGTGACAGCTTTATCTGTTGTGCCACAGCCTGGCCCCCATCCTATTTTTTTTTAAAGATATACTTTTAAAAAAAAAATATTTATTTGAAAGAGTTACACAGAGAGAGGGAGAGAGGGGGAGAGAGAGAGAGAGGGAGGTCTTCCATCCAATGGTTCACTCCCCAATTGGCTGCAACAGCCAGAGCTGTGCTGATCCAAAGCCAGGAGCTCCTTCTAGGTCTCCCATGTGGGTGCAGGGGCCCAAGGACCTGGGCCATCCTCCACTGCCCTCCCAGGCCACAGCAGAGAGCTGGACTGGAAGAGGAGCAACCGGGACAAGAATCCAGCGCCCACATGGGATGCCGGTGCCACAGGTGGAGGACCAACCCAATGCGCCACAGCACCAGCCCCAACAGCCGGGTCTTGAACCAGCGCCCATATGGGTTGCCAGCGCTTCAGGCCAGGGCATTAACCCACTGCGCCACAGTGCCAGCCCCCCATCCTATTTATTTTTAAATGTACTCTAAAAAGACTGAGACTGAAACCTGAATATTTCAAATACCAGATATAATATTCTTTGATTAATAATATGGATAATTTTTTAAATTGTAATTTTTCACTGTCCTTCCCAATGTCTAATCATTACTTCCTTTTA